TTCTAATTTCAATTTTTCAACTTTGAATGCATATTACAGCAATATGGATAAGAGCACAGGAATGTATCTATACTTTAGTAGATATTTGGAAAATTGCTCACTGCTTATAGATATTAAGAAAATCAATGAAAATCGAAAGACTGAAATAAATCTTTGTTTTAAATTGAACTTCGATTTGCTATTATTATTATAAACGTTGCAATTATTCCAATAATTCCACTAAATACTACTTAAAAATAGGTTTCAAGTGCATATTGAATGATTTATTTACTATTTATAGTTATTGAGAAAATCATTGAAAATCGAAATACTAAAATAAATTCTTGTTATCGATTTGTGCGATAAAAGCATACAGATTGCAATTATTCCAATAAACATGTTCAATACTTCTATATTTATTATATAATTACATTTCAAGTGCATAATGATTAATTGTTAGTTGTAGTTTCTGAGAAACAACGTAAAATTTAACTTTGCCCTCTTGGATACTAAAATCTTCAATTAACACACATACGTGTTTACCTGCATAATCGTAAATACCTGAGAGAAAGTGGATAACGGTCAATACAATTTTTTTTGCTATTGATGTTTTCTGAATGTAACTTCAATTTACTTATAAATATTTACGATTTGCATGTTGTTATTTAACCTTTTTTCATCACTGCATGACCCCAGACTACATTAATTGACTCAATTATTATTATTATGATTTGTAATTGTTGTTTTGCGATTCTGAATTATTCTATATTTCTTAATGAATTACATAAACTTTTAAGTAGTTTTGGTGACTTTCAAATAGTTGTTCTAAAGTCTACCAGATATGTAAATTATTATAACTCGTTTATCATTAACAGATGATAAAGTCCACGATTGTTACGTCTGAAGCAGACTAGATTAAAGAATCCAAGAGATTTGAATCTTTGCGGGAGATCTACAGTAAGTAGTTCTTCATGGACGCATCAGAACTACTTAAAGAAAGTAACCTCCGCGTCTCCAATAAAAAAAAAAAAGAACAATTGATGCGGTTCTTGTGATGCGAAGAACTTTCGATCGGCTGTATGTAACAGTACGTACCTTTAGCTTTGGGTAAGTGATAAGGTATTTTATTGAAAGACCACATTTTCCAAACTTAACGCAGAAGATGATACCGTTGCGAGTGTAAAGGTTAAGGCGCGAAGAACGTCGGATGAGAACTGCGAAATTTGAACAATTGCGTACGAGTTTCGTTCAACTTTGTAGGTCATCACATACACGTTCACCTGAATCGAGCATGCATATTCATCGTCATGGAAACAAACGTTGATGTTCGTTTGTTATTGTTTAAAAGAAGGAAACTTGTTTATTGATTTTTTTTTATTTAATTTATTTCTTGTTTCCAGTCTCAGGAAGGATTTTGAAGCGATGGAGGGGATAGCGCTTGGAGAAACGAAGGATGTTCCAATTGATGCAACATCTCCGAAGAAAACTAACTTTGTTGGTATCACCCCCCAGAAACAGCTGACGAATGTCACAACACCGACGGACAGACCGTTCAGGGTGTCGGTGGAGGGAAACATTGGTGCAGGAAAGTCCAGTTTCATACAATACTTTTCCACATTCCAAAACATCGAAACGTATCCGGTGAGTGTGCTGTGAAATGAACATGCAACATCAACTCTTAATTCGATTGTTTGTTTTTAGGAACCAATCGATTGGTGGAGAAATTTGGATGGGCACAACTTACTTGATCTGCTTTACAAGGACATAAACAAGTGGCACACGACGTTCCAGACGTACGTGCAATTGACTAGGCTGAAAGTGCAAACCTCGAAGCCCACTCAGGCGACAACCACTGTGCAGATGTTCGAGAGGTCTCTGCAGAACAACAGGTATTGCTTCGTTGAGCAGGCTTACAATAATGGGTATTTGCATGACGCGGATTACGCGATCTTGGATAAATGGTACAGATGGATCAGGGATACCGTAGATATTAATTTGGATCTCATTGGTGAGTCTTAATCTAACATAATTATTAATTTTTGATTAAATTAAACAATTTTTTTTGTTAGTTTATTTGAGAAGTTCTCCGGAGATTGTTTACGAGAGGATTATGCGCAGGGCTAGGCCCGAGGAGAAGAGCATGAGTTTGGATTATCTGAAGCAACTGCACGAGAGCCACGAACGGTGGCTGATGACCGACGATGAGCGTTTCAATACTATTCCTGTGTTGGTGCTGGACGCGAACACGGCTTTAGAAGACATAGTGGAACAATACAAACTGAACGAGAATCGAATCATGGGAAACAAATCGGGGAAGCGAAAAGTGTGCCAAGAGGACAAGGAGAGAGTGAGGAAGGTTTTGCATTTAGATAAATAATCAATACGTTATATAAAATTATTAATTTTACAAGCCAAATAAATACATCTATTCATCATTATCACTACTGCTCTCCTCTTCCACTCTTCTCTCATCATCAACTTCCTTCTCGATCCAAGGATTCTTGCAATTCGGACACTTACTCCTCTTCTTCTGAAACTTTTCCATGCACGATCTATGCATCAAGTGGTCGCAATTCGCACAAGCGACGCCCTGGAAAACAGCAATTAGTAATGCATTATACCTAATAGTTAATCGACATACAGTGAAGACCAATTCGGAGCATAAATTGCATTTGACTATGTATTCTTCGTAATCCTTGTAGAAATAAGGAGTGAATTCTGAGATGCACCTGGGGCCCAAATAGACTTCCCCATCTTTAAGTCTGAGATAACCGTTGCTGAAGCACCTCTGCAGCACGTTCTGAGCTGCCTCTCGGGAGAAAGTCCCTGAAAGACTGGAGGCCAAGTTCAGGCAGAAGATGTGCTTCAGCTTCTTCTCGTCAGTCACCACCAGTTCATTGACTAAATTATGAAAATACTCTGATTCTATGGTTGTGTAACTGCTGTTCAGTTTGCTCGATCCATCCACGAGCATCTGCACCAGCACAACAAATTGTTCCCCAGTCACCTCGCAAGTCAATACGTTGATCTTCAAGCTCTGCTCACCAATGCATTTATTGATTTCTTTAATGAAAGCCTCCAATTTAACATGCGAACTGTACGATTCTTGAAATCAAATGGGAAACATTAATGTTCGCAACAAATAAACTTAACCTTATCCTCACCGTTGCAAAGATCGTTGTATATGTTTATGGATTTATCCAGAGACACGCAACCCTTTCCAATCATATACTGAAGAAACGATCTATGGGTATCGTTGTACATTATGAGATGACACCAATCAAGTTGTTGCAGAAACACAACAAGATTTTTAGATATATTTTCGCGGTTTTACCCCATGCAACAAATTTAAATTATAAAATATTTTTAAATTCCACCGACAGATGTCGCTGCATTACACATTTCAGTGTTTCCCAAACTTTTTCGATTTGCGGCGCTCTTAATACAGTGGAACCTCGCACAACGCTTAACGAGCAAAATGAATTGTAAGAAAAACGAGCAACGTTTCGCATAACGAGTGACGATGAGGAGAGAAGTCCCGGATTGCGCGCCTTCTACTGCAGTTTTAAAACTTATGTACACACATTATGTGTATTTTTTTTAATATGTTTCACTATACGAGTAAAAATCAGGAAATGTTGGAAAGGATTAAACTCGTTAAGCGAGATATTAATAGTCAAAACATTGGCCAATTTCAGGGCAAACGTTAATACGTTAGTTTTTCTTCAGTTTATATGCGAAATCTATAACATCATTAATTAAACAATCTGTAATTTATTTTGTTACTATGAAGATCAGAAAGAGTTCATCAACTGTATGTAAGTTTGGTTGCCTACTTTCATCAAAATTAGTTATCACAAAATTATAGTTGAGCACTTTGTGCTAAGATTTTTTTGAAAATATTATTAACAAAAACGTGCTGCGTTTGATTTCCATTCGATCAGTAACATTAATCAATAAAACAACGAACAATGTAACGTAATTGAAAATCTCCATCTAACAGGAAACAAGTAATACTAAATGTAATTTAAATTTGAAAAAACTATTAATAATTAATTATTCTCTCTACAATTGTAGAATAGAAACTGAAAACTTTAATAATACAGTTGTATCTCGACATACGAGTTTAATTCGTTACGTAACTTTGCTCGTATCTCAAAGCAATTTTGATAATGTTTTGTAAGTGTACAAAAAGCAATAAAAAACGAGAATCCAACTTATCAAAAAATGCTTCGAAAATGAGGGAAATAGACTGAGGTGGAAGAAACTGTTAGACGGTGTAGTGTGCGATTCCTCGTATTTCAAATCTTGCTCGTATCTCAAAACACTCGTATATCAAGTTATCACTGTATATCGAAAGATTGGAACATTATTATATTAATATTAATGTTTTTTTTCTATTGAAAGAAATGTTTTAAGGGTGAAAGAATGAAAGATGTGGTAAACATTAGAATTACAATTTATTTTCTATATAAATACATGGGTTGAAATGAAAATGAATTTGAAGCTTATGCCACATAAATTTTTATTTTATCTCTCGTATAACACATATATATATATATTCTTCGTTAAATATATGCAGGCGCTTATTTATATATATGTTGGATATATACATACGCTTTCAATATATATACTTTGTGTGTGTATAATTACAAGAAAATACATTTAATACAATATGTCATAAAATAGATACGTCCATATATCTGATTCTATTCTATATATAATATATATATATTTATTATACATACAATTATGTATACACTTTTACATACATCCTTTTTTTTATCTTTTGTTTTTTTTTTATATATATATATATATATTTATAGATATATACTCGAAACTAAAAACTTGTGCAGTTTTCTTTTCCTACTATCACATTATGCATTTGGAACTTGACTTACATATACATATACACATATAGAATATTACATATTTTGAGTGTTTCCCCTCTAATTTGTTTCCTCGTAAATTTTCCAGAAAAAATATACACAAAATCGATCAGAGTCAGCGCAAAAACAAAAAACCAAAAAAATCGTTGAGCATGCGTTTAACGAAACGAATTAATTAAACAAATTAAATATAATAATTAAAAAAAAAAAAACACAAACAAAAAGAGTATTTTTTCTTCCATTTCGAAACACAACAACAAGAATAACAAAAAAAAAAAAAGAAAACTTTTTCAGGTAACTTCCAGCATATTATATAAAGTTTTTTCTTCTTTCTTTCTTTACATATCCTTTTTTTTTGTTTCATTTTGTTGTATACATTTATATAAATCTCTCGTTTACTTATATATATTAACACAAAAAATATATATTAAAGATATATAGAATTGATATTTTTATATATATATTTATATCTCTTAGGCTACGTTCTATTATACTAATAAGATAATTGTTGCTACTGGAGACGGATCCGAGGGAGGAGCTCTTGTCTCATTTTGTTTCTCTACGCCGCCTGCTTAATAAATTACGAATACTCATTTAGAACTTGTAGGCTCTCTCTCTCACTCTTTCTCTCTGCCCCCAATTCGTTTCAATGTTTATAGATATTTATTTATATATATGTGTGTGTATGCGGTCGCTCTCGTTATTCATATGTACAATTACTATACAAAATAAAAATTAAAAAAATATATATATTCAACAAACATAGACACGGAAGCACAAAAATCACAAACCTTAAATGTATAAATTTGAGGGCTAAAAAACACAACAAAGATTCAAACAACAAACGTGAAATATTGTTTTTTTTTTTGCTGAAGGTAAATTATTTTTATATATATATATATATTTATATATGGCATGGGGGGTGGTGGTTGGGTGGCGGAGGCGTCCGTCCAGTCTTTGCGGATCACAAACAAACAAAAAAACAACACTTGGGTGGGTGAGGGAATCGGCTTTCTTCTGGTGCTGCACGCATCCTCTCCGACGCGAAACGTAACTTAATGTAAGTTAAAATAAGGATGAGAGAAAGATAAATTGAATGGACTCTTCAGCGTGCTGCGACTGCGGCGTTCTCTGGCGCCGGCACCTCCAGGTTCTGCTGGTGCAGAGAGTTGTTGTTCTGTTCCCGATTCGTGGGCTCCTCGGAGCCGGTCTCCAGTTCCGCGGAACTGTCCTCCTCCGCGTCTTGGAATCTAGAAGAGAATCAACTGTAACCTCTGGTAATTAAGAGAAGAAAAATGCAATTAACTCACGTGTAGTGCTTCTCCTCTCCGCGCATCTCGCAGATGACGTTCGTGAGTGCCATTATGTAGTTCTTAGCTAACGTTAAAGTCTCTATTTTCGAGAGCTTCCGCTCCATCTTTATGTGCGGTATCACCTCCCTAAGTTGCTGCAACCAACAACAAAACAAAAGAGAATTAGTAAAACCAACAACAATATTAAATCAAAATCTCGACTATAGAATTCCAGACAACTAAAATTCCCGACTGATCAACAAATAAATTCATTTTTAATGTCTCATTTTCCATTGAAACTCTTTGAAAATGTATCTACATTGAAATGTTGTCTGAATAATTTTGTTGAGTGATATATCGTCTTGCTCGACTATATAATTCCCGACAGTGTTAAAATCCTGACACTGAAAATCCCGACAGTATTAAAATCTTGAATATAATGGCTCATTTTCCATTGAAACTCTTTGAAAATGTGTCTATATTGAAATGTTGTATGAATAATTACTATTTACTATATAATTCCCGACAGTGTTAAAATCTAGAACATTTTAGCGAAATTTACCAATAATTTCTCTCTTCCTAATCATTATCGAATATCGATGTTGTTTTTTTGTTGTTAAATCAAGTAGTTTTTAAATTCAATTGTTTTACGTCTATGTCAAATGATAAAATAAATGAATTAACAATGAGCGTTATTACTTACAGTTCAAAACAAAAAACAACACACTGAAAAACTGAAACACCGAAAATCCACTCTTTGAAAATTTGACTATATTGAAATGTTGTATGAATAATTACGTTGACTACATAATTCCCGACAGTGTTAAAATCCTGACACTGAAAATCTCGACAGTATTCGTAACTGATCAACAAATAAATCCATTTTTAATGTCTCATTTTCCATTGAAACTCTTTGAAAATGTGTCTATATTGAAATGTTGTCTGAATAATTTTGTTGAGTGATCGTGTCTTGCTCGACTATAGAATTCCCGACAGTGTTAAAATTGTGACACTGAAAATTTCGACAGTATTCGTAACTGATCAACAAATAAATTCATTTTTAATGGCTCATTTTCCATTGAAACTCTTTGAAAATGTGTCTATATTGAAATGTTGTCTGAATAATTCTGTTGAGTGATCGTGTCTTGCTCGACTATATAATTCCCGACAGTGTTAAAATCCTGACACTGAAAATCCCGACAGTGTTAAAATTCTGACACTGAAAATCCCGACAGTGTTAAAATCCTAACACTGAAAATCCCGACAATATTCGTAACTGATCAACAAATAAATTCATTTTTAATATCTCATTTTCCATTGAAACTCTTTGAAAATGTGTCTATATTGAAATGTTGTCTGAATAATTTTTTTGAGTGATCGTGTCTTGCTCGACTATATAATTCCCGACAGTGTTAAAATCCTGACACTGAAAATCCCGACAGTGTTAAAATCCTGACACTAAAAATCCCGACAATATTCGTAACTAATCAACAAATAAATTCATTTTTAATGGCTCATTTTCCTTTGAAACTCTTTGAAAATGTGTCTATACTGAAATGTTCTATGAATAATTCTGTTGAGTGATCGACTATATAATTCTCGACAACTGAAATCCTGATACTGAAAATCCCGACAGTATTAAAATCAATAATTTCTCTCTTCTCAATTAACATGAAACGCGTTTCCGATAAGATACACGTTTTACTCTCTAAACAATAGAATATCGATGTTGTTTTTTTTTGTTGTTAAATCAAGTAGTTTTTAAATTCAATTGTTTTACGTCTATGTCAAATGATAAAAGAAATGAATTAACAATGAGCGTTATTACTTATAGTTAAAAAAAAAAAAGAGAGTAAACAACGCTACGCCACTATTTAGTGCTTGAACCTACGTCATTATAACAACTCTGTGCCTACGTTAAAAACCTTACACAATAGGTAATTAACTATTCCTCAGGATTTGCGCAATTGAATATTTCTGAAATAATGATAATTTACAAGTTTCATCAAATGTCGGGATTTTAGTTGTCGGGATTTCGTTATGGAACTGTTGCAAAAAAAAAAATACCTCGAATGCGTCGTTCAACGAATGCATTCTCATCCTCTCCCTCTCGTTGCTTTCCAGTCTTCTTAGATTTCTCTCCCTCGCGCTGATGCACGATTTTCGTCTTCTCGTCGTGCTGCCGCTCGAACCGCCACCGCTCGACGCGCTCCCTGTCGAAACAAACAAACAAAAAAATTATTAACGTGTCGTCGTCATTTCACACACGCACACACACTTTTCAACGCAATTTCCGCGCCATCTCAGCAAATAAATCCCTCAAAAAGCGCATCCGAAAGAATACGAAAGAGTCTATTTCCACATCTTTTGTGCCCAACAATAGCTTATATTTTTATTCTCCCTCCGCAACTTATACGCAAATAATAACACTCTTCATGTTTGCAAATCCTGATATACTAAAAAACTAACAGCTTTTTCATCTATGAAAATATCAATAGATTACATGTCAAATGTTGCTTAGCAACAGAAATTTGTTACTAAATTTGTACATAATGAAAATTAGATATTTCTAATGTAGCTTAGCAACAAATTCGAATCTATTAAAGTTCAATAGCCTAAAGAAATATATATTCATTAATTATAAATTAATTGCTTTCGAGCTGCAATGTTAGCAATGTTGTGTCCATATTTGCATTAGCATCTCAGTTTTTTTTGGAAAAAAAAGTTAACAGTGATGGAATTCAAACGTAATAGTGCCCAATATTTGAGCGGAAATCCACTATTGTTAAAGTCCTCAAACACCTTAATGTGAATAAATCTTTGTTATAACAAAGCAAGTAGTGTTACAAAATGCTATTTTGGTGGTCGGAAAGAAACTACATCTGTGGTAGAAGTGGTTCAGAAACATAAGGCCAGAATTGAATGAAATCCGCTGAACATATCGAAAATGACCATGCAACAAATACTCCAAATCGAACTCAAAGTGAATCCTTACAAGTTCCAAAAAGGACAAGATCTCACCGATGATTGAAAGAAAACTAGGCTCAATACAGCGAAGGAGCTGTTGCTCTTGCACGAACGCGGCTAATTGCAAAATATCGTCTTGTCTGATGAGAAAAATTTTCCAATTGAGAGATTCGTAAACAAACAAAATGATCGTATTTACTTAGAAGAGAGATCAACCGAACATTTAGACATTCGAATGACCATAAGAAGCCTGTGGTAGTTTGGAAGTCTGTGATAATCGCTCTCCGTTGGTGTTTTTGGACCCTGGCGTCAAGTTTAATGCGAATGTCTACAACGAAAAAGTTTTGGAAAGTGCTTTGAAGCCGTGAACAACCAAACATTTCAGTCAGAAAGAGTGGACGTTTCAAGAAGATTCTGTACCATCAAACAAAGCACACGAAAACCAACAATTTCTGCGAGACAACGCTCGACTTCTCGGGTCATTTTACAGGCCAATGTCAGCACTAAAATATACCAGAGTGTTAATGTGTTCAAAAAAGCCCTTCTTCGTGAATGGAGAAAGATTCCGAAGGTTCACATTCGTGCAACGTGTGACCAACTCAGAGCTATAGTTCGCGCTCAAGGTGGCCATATCGAAAATTTGAAATGAATTCAAAAAATTTAATTGTTTTCCAACATTTTTCACTTGTGGTTTAAGAAAATCCAATTTCACATAAGAAAAATACAGCGTTGTGAAAAGTTGCAGTTCAATTGGGCCACCTTATATATGTTACAAACGAATCGTATTCAATTAATTTCTGAACTTCGAAAAGGATAATAACGGTGATGATGATGATGATAATAATAATAAACGGAAATGTAAATGCGATCATCACCTCCGTGTTTCCGTCGTTTCCGGCTCGTCGCCTCGTCGCTGCTCGACTCGCTGAGATCGTCCCTTCCGTCGTTAAGTGGATGCTTTCTCAGCTCCATCTCCTCCACCTCGACGTCCTCCTCCTCCTCCTCTTGCCACGGTGCAGTCACATCTAGTGACCTCATGCTTAGCGGTGACACTAAAAACAAGAGAAAGAGAGACAAATAAGCAAAAAATAATTTTCCAATTTCTTACGAAAAAAACAAGAAAAAGCAAGAAAAAAAAAATATAAATAAAATTCTTTTATTAGAAAAGCGCCGCTCATCGATGCAAAACAAGAGAAAACGGTATTTCCAAGATGTTGCACAAAAAATTGCGCTATTTGTCAATCTGCAAATATTCAACGTTCACTTCGATCTCTACAGTTTCAAATTTTCAACTATTTTCAACTATATTCAAACTAATTTCATAACAACAAAAGTTATAGTCATTTACACTTGTTTTTACATATTATTGGATTACTAACTAATGCACTTTCGGAAATATGTAAATTAAGTTAAATTTTTTTTTATTCAAAATCGTGCAAAATATATTTTCTGCTTCACATTTGCATACGATTGTATTTGTAAATCTCTTCCGGTATTTTCGAGTTGCGTAATGAATACTAGCAACAATAGGTGTCACTTCTGAATGGCTCATTGAAACTCATTACACTGTTATTATATAATGCAAAAAAATGATATATATTTTTGTACATCGCAACTGATTAACAAATAAAACCATTTTCAATGATTGGAACTCTTTGAAAATGCGTCTATATTGAATTGTTGTATGTTTTTGTTGAATTTACTTGAGTAGAAACTAAGAGGTTAATCGAGATGAATCGAATATGAAAATAAAAATAAAAACGTGATTGATAAATTACAAATAAATGTTTGCCCTTCAGTTGACTCGACTCGTTGCAAACGTTGGGCGAAACTCTCACGTAAACACAGCGGATATTTGCGTTGCGCTTCGAGCATTTGCGGAAAATAAATATATAAAAATGTGTGTATATATACGGAGAAATAAAATACAATTATCCGCGCCAATAAAAGTTTATTACTTGAATGGGCGAACAAAAAAAGGATGTAAAACAACGCTGCATTTCTGTTAATATCCGCCAACTTTATTGAAGGAGATTTCGCCTTGGTTTTTAGTTTGTCTTTTAGCTTATAAATCGTATTTAATAAGTACGAAAAGGATGATGTATTTTTATTTAGGTAAAATTAATCGAGAATGCGTGACGCCATGGTAACTGTTAAAGTAACTGTCAGTTAAGCGATTGATGTAAAATATTAGAATCCAACGTAGCTTTGGAAAGTGATTAAAATGTGTTAATGATGTGTTTCTATGGTAACTAGTGATGTAACTGTCAGTTTGACGTGAACCGGAAGAAGTTTTTATATGTAACGTTGCTTTGTACTTGAAGTCGAAATGTGCCTGGAAAAACTGAAAGTTGGGGATTTCTCAAATCGTAAAGTTTTTGGTTATAATTAAGAATAATTCAGAGTAGTTAGTTTACTGATAATATTAGGAACTTAAACCTTAGAAAAAAAATGCGAAAACATATAACTAGTAACTAGTGATGTAACTGTGAGTTTGAGTTTAACCAGGAGATATTAGATTCCAAAGTAGCTTTTGAAAGTGCATAAATTTTGTTAATGATGTGTTTCTATGATAACTAGTGATGTAACTGTCAGTTTGACGTGAACCGGAAGAAGTTTATAAAGTGCGTGGAAAAACTGAAAGTTGGGGATTTCTCAAATCGTAAAGTTTTTGGTTATAATTAAGAATAGTTAGTTTACTGATAATATTCGGAACTTAAACGTTAGAATAAAAAAAATGCGAAAACATATTAGTTACTAGTTTCCATGGTAACTAGTGATATAACTGTCAGTTTGAGTATAACCAGGAGATGGACTTTAAGTTCGAACGTAGCTTTTGAAAGTGGATAAAATTTGTTAATGATGTGTTTCTATGGTAACTAGTGATGTAACTGTCAGTTTGACGTGAACCGGAAGAAGTTTTTATATCTAACGTTGCTTTGTGCTTGAAGTCGTAATGTGTGTGGAAAAACTGAAAGTTGGGGATTTCTCAAATCTTAAAGTTTTTGGTTATAATCAACATTAATTACTTGTTTAGTTAGTTTATTGATAATATTAGGAACTTAAACGTTAGAAAAAAAAAAGCGAAAACATATTAGTTACTAGTTTCTATGGTAACTAGTGATGTAACTGTGAGTTTGACGTTAAGCGATTGATGTGAAATATTAGAATCCAACGTAGCTTTGGAAAGTGATTAAAATGTGTTAATGATGTGTTTCTATGGTAACTAGTGATGTAACTGTCAGTTTGACGTGAAACGGAAGAAGTTTTTATGTCTAACGTTGCTTTGTGCTTGAAATCTAAATGTGCGTGGAAAAACTGAAAGTTGGAGATTTCTCAAATCGTAAAGTTTTTGGTTATAATTAAGAATAATTGAGAATAGTTAGTTTACTGATAATATTAGGAACTTAAACCTTAGAAAAAAAAGCTAATTTATATTGGTTATGAATAAAAGTTACTAGTTTCCATGGTAACTAGTGATATAACTGTCAGTTTGGTTAACCGATGGACTTTAAGTTCAAAGTGTGTTGTGTGGAATCCAGAATGCGGATGGACAAATAAACCTAAGAGAGAGAGAGAGAGCCGGGTGTTCCGAAATCGAAAGGTAAACTTGTTGTAGAGGTAAACTTCGACGACGTGTGTGACCTTTCTTCGTGATTTTGATCGCGCGAAAAAGAAATGTTCACGTCCTTGGACGAAATGGTCTACTTTCCGCGTACACCGAC